CAAAAGGAAACACAAGTCTTGTCTGGAGGAACTCAGCTATAAGTTAGGACTCAAAGAATTCCCACAAATAAAGTCCCGAGAAAAGCAAACAGTTCACAATCAAAAATCACAAATACACAAAGAAATGAGGCACTGTATCAAAGTGATAAAAAAAAAAGGTCATAAAATCGAACATGCATAGGCATTAGCAATGCAATTATCAGGTAGAGAATTATAATATTGCCTTGCTTAACATGCTTAAAGGCATAAAAGAGAGAATTGGTCACGTATCTGGGCAGTATCAAAGAAGTTTCTCCTCTGTTCCAATTTTTTTGATGAAATCTTCTAAAAATAGGAAGATTAGAGTCCTGTTTCTGGTGAGACGAAGATTTTACACCCTCCTAACGAAACTTGCAGCACTGTGGCAGCATCTTTACCAGTGTGGGTCTGTGGAAAAAGTCTCACGTGAGCAGCTTCCCTTTCAGGCACAGTTTTGCTTGGGGCGGCCGATGGCAGGACAGTGCCACTCTCTTCATGCTCTTCCGAAGCACAGGGTACGAGGCCTATGGGAGATATGAAAATCTGCAGGGGAAAATATCTAAGTTGAGTTTCAATTACCCTTTGTCATCATGTATATGTTTTAGCATTTTTTGTCATGTTTAAGAAACATAGATTACCTAGGATACAACATGGTCATTTTCTTATTTGTTATTAGGGATCTTTTTAAATAACGTCCAGAAGATACAGATATAGATATAGATAGATACACTACACATTATATTATTAATTCATCCAAGATATGCATTATAAATATTTTTTCAGTTTGTTATTTGACTAGCTAATGGGGCCTTTCCCACGCAAAAAAAAAAAAATATTTTTTTTTTAATTTTTCATAGTGTTTAAATCAGTATTTTCACTTACAAGTTTCTGAGTTTTGTTCCATGGTTAGAAAGACCTTCTCCTGCCCTGACTGGCATGGCTGCTTGGTTGTATATCATTCTACAAATTGAAAGGCTGCCGGTTCGATTCCTGGTCAGGGCACAGGCCTGGGTTGCAGGCTCTGTGCTCTGTCCCCACTGGGGCACTTGCAGAAGGCTGAAGTCAGCCAATCGATGTTTCTCTCTCACATCAATGTTTCTCTCCTTTGCTTTATCCCACCCTTCCCCTCACTCTAAAATACAATTAAAAGTCAAGGAACATATAGCAAGGACTCATGGACAAAACCAAAGGGGAAGAGCTGAGGGAGGGAAGGAGGGAGGGGGCAAGGGAAAGTGGTGGGGGGTCGGCAGAGACAAATATATTTGAAAAAATTCAAAAAAATTCAAAAAAATTTTTTAGTTGTTTAAAAAATGGACGACCTTCTCCAATCCAAGGTTAAATTTTTTTCTTATTATCTTTAAATTTTATATGATTTTCTTATTCATATTTAAATATATGCTCCTTTGAAATTTAACAGGGTGGAAGATGTGAGGTGTAATGCTTGATATGTTTAACTCTAGATGGCTTCTCAGCTTCCCATAACATTTATTAAATATTTCGTCTCCAGGTCTCCCACTCTAAAGTTGGCCCTTCACAATAGTTTAAGTTCCCTATGCACATATTTTGATTTCTGAGACTTTCTACCCAGCTCCATCGATATCTCTGCCTGTCTGTATGTTAGCACCTGATTGTTCTTTTCACTGTTGCTTTACAATAGCCTCTAATATCTATCAGAGTTGCTCAATTCTGATTTCATTCTATTTCCTCCAGAATTGGTTGAGGTTTTGTTTTACTCTATGTTCTAATATTTTTAATAAATAAGAAAGCTATTGACTTCCGTAAAGGAATTTTGTTTCCAGTCATCTTTCTGAGCTGTCTCTCACTGTAGGGATTATCAGTTGATCATGTGGGTTTTCCAGAAAGACAATCACACCACCTGCCATTCTCTCCTAAACCCACTTTTGGCCTTGTCACAATCAGCAATGACTCTACATTGCATATCCTGAGTCTAATTCTTATTCTTCATCTTACTCAGTCTATGAAGTCAGACAGAGGCTAGTGCCAACTTCTCGAATTACTATCACAGTTCAGTTTCAGGATACTGTTATCTCCTCCTTTACCCCCTCCTTCATTAGGTGCTTCTTATGACTGCATTGGCTGGGTCTTCCTCCTCTACAGGGGTTTAGAGGGCAGAGACCCTAATGCTGAGATTCAATATCTTCTCCAGCAACACTTGCTCCCAGGGTGAGCTCACCGAGCTCATCTGGAATGTAGGAGCATAGTCCTTTGTGAGATTCATCCCTGCATCTTCCCTGCCTGCAGCAGTACTGGGCACAGCATAGGCACACAGAAGAGTTGGGTAGATGCAGAAATGAGTGAATATGTTTTTCTGATTGTTTTCAATGCTTTATAGTTAAGTCATTAAAGGAAATGCCATATAATTCAATTTGGCTGCAGCATGGGCACATGAAAGGAAGTCATCAGAGTTTAGGGGTGAAAATCCTGGTTGTCCCTAAATCATCTGAAAATAATATAGCTAACAAACATGAGTAGAGAAATGTATGAGTAGTGTGCATGCAGTTTGCTAAATTCCTTATCTATTATAAGGAAACATAATATACAGATTTGTTGATTTTGACAAATCAAAACTAGAAATGTAGTTTTATTATGCTAAGCTCTAAAATGACTTGGAAAAGAGTTAGAAATGGGAATTGTACACATCAGTTGCTCTAGTGAACAAGATTAAGAAAACCTTTACATTTCATTTCACACACTCTGGTGTCCTCTGAAATAAACTAATGTGTGTACAGTACATCTGTGAGTAAATGAAAAAAGTCAGATGAGCCAGGCCATTCAGGGCTCTGAATGCTAAGCAAACTTCTCTTCAACTATGGAGGACACACTGCCTGGTGGCTGGGCTTCCTGCAGAGAACCACAGTGGACAGCAGCTGGCTCCAGGACAGCCATTGCTCACAGGGAGGGGCAGCAGGAGGTGTAAGAAGCAGAGAGGAAGAGATAAGTCATTGGAGTTGGGCAACTGAGAAACATCTCGTGAGGCCCTTGTCTCACATTTCCTGAATCTATGTGCCACTGCCCCTCTGGTGCAGGAAATCACAGGGGCTGTCCAGCATCTTGATAAGCCTCTTCTGGTCTTCAGGGTTCATTCCTGCTCCTGCAGTCACCTCCAATCCAGGGGCTGGAAGAGCATCCACTGGTTTTCAGCACTCCCTGGGAAGCTCTCCCTTGTCTGCTCTCACCCTTCAACTTCAAGGTGGTAGTAAGGTAAGAGTTGGCTCAGAGCTATCTTCTTCCAATAGCAGTTTTGTTTTGTCCCTCTGAGTCCAGAGGGACACAATTGCATCCTGGGTGGGGGATGCAGGGAGCCATGGGATCCATTAGCAGGAATCCAGAGACAGGAAGACCCCTCAGGGAAGCTTTGGGTGCTATTATCATAGACCACGGGAGATCCGCACGGGGCCCACCAGGTTCCCTCTGTTTCACTGACATTTTTTTTCAAAACTAAATTATTGTTAATAACCTCAGAGTTTCACTGATTAGTTTACTGTTCAGAGATTTGGGAGTTTTTCATCATTTATTTTGTATCCCTCTATCTCATTTGTCCCAGGAGAATCTACAGGGCACAATTCAATGAATTAGGTTAATGAGAAGAGTGTAGTGAAGGGACTGTGTATAAAGGTGTGAGCAAGGCTAAGGGAAATTAATAAGGGATGCAGGGGACTCCAATATAGATCATAGTAAGAGCTGTTGTCATTGCACATCCTGAAGGTTAAAGGGAAAGTTACATTACCAAAACTCAAGAAGGGCTGTGTCTGTAGCTATGGTTGCCACTGTGACTCTAAGAAAAGCCACCAGATAGGGACTATGTTAGGTAAAATAACACCACTTTGGCCAACTCACAGCCTAAAGCTGAGAGCAAGAAAGTTACAACCCTAGTCACCCTCCTCCTGTCCTCCCATCACCTGTCAGTGTCTCTCTTTCCTGAGAGCAGCCAGGAGCCAGAGGGAAAGGAAGCCTACTAGTGAGGCAAACAGAGTGGAACCCCATCACTCAGATGAGGGTAGAGAAGATCGGAATGAGATTTAGTAGCAAATGGGAAAAAAATACATCTCTTCCCTTCATCTCCTAACTCTTGGTTTTCCTTGTTCTCTCTCTCTCTCTCTCTTTCTCTCTCTCTCTCTCTCCCCCCGCCTTCTCTCTCTCTGTCTCTCTCTCTGTCTTTCTCTCTCTGTCTCTCTGATTGTCTCAAGATCTCACTGTATCTCCTCGGACTGTTTGTGTCTGCACCTCTATTGGATATCAGTTCTTTGGAATAATCTCACACTATCATCACAAGTGTCCTGAGAATTCAATGTAGTTTACGTTTAAAAAGGTGGTGATACAATATGGTTGATAAGTTTTATATGTTTATGATTTTTGCTACTCCAGAAAGAAACCAATTATAAGAATGACTTCAACTGTGTCCCACACATAGCTGGACCACCACTCAACAGGAGAAAAGTGCTTCCTGTCTTCATAAAAATGACACACTCGGCCATCTCTAGCACAAGAGGCCTGGCCACACTAACACCCCTCAGAGCAAGAGGATGTGTTCCACTTATAGCCCTAACTCCTGATCTTCATCCTGGGGGATAGACATTGTAGTCACTGATAAAGCCCAGAGGTCATGCCTGCGGATTCCAACTTCCAGCCCTTTAAAGGATATCTCAGTCCCAGGGCAGAATAATGTGAGATCAGACTCTTGTTATCTCAGGCACCTGTGCAGATATTTCTCCTCCTGCCTCCTGCAGATGTGATGTGGCCAAGGACTGTGCATGAAGGTGTTTGGACCATAGATTATTCCCATATCAGTAGAGGATCTGTGTTGCACTAGAAAGAACCCAGTATCTAGAAACAGAGAAAACTGGCTTTGATTGAGGTCCCAGGACTCCAAGGCTGTGAAATCTTCAGTGTCTTAACCACTACTAAAAGCTCCATCCCCCTCCTCTTTAGCTCAGACAGTGATCCCCAGTAGTGGGGTGCTCATGCACCTGGTGCTCAAGTGTTGTTTCTATTCCAGTAGCACCAGTGGAGAGTTTCCGAGCATGAATACATCTGTCACAGCCAGGAGCACAGAACTCACACCAATAAGTGCAGGTGAACAGCCCCATCCTCTAACTTCCAATATGAAGATCATAATCCTGAACTTATTGATCATCATCTTTGCCCTGGTCGGGCTGGCAGGAAACACCATTGTGCTCTGGCTCCTGGGCTTCCGCATGAGGAGGAATGCCTTCTCCGTCTACATTCTCAACCTGGCAGGAGCTGACTTCACCTTACTTTGTTGCAGTATTTTGCATGCCCTGGAGAAACTCATCAAGTTGCTTGGTTCCATCTCCACATTCATCCCCTACTTTTTCATCACTGTGTCCGTCTTTGCCTACATCACAGGCCTGAGCTTTCTCAGCATCATCAGCACAGAGCGTTGTCTGTCTGTCCTGTGGCCCATCTGGTACCGCTGCCGCCGCCCCAAGCACATGTCAGCTGTCATGTGTGTCCTGCTCTGGGCCTTGTCTCTGTTGCTGAGCATCCTGGAAGGGAACTACTGTGGCCTCCTGAATAGGGATTTACATCGCTTTTGGTGTCCAGCATTGGATTGCATCACTGTAGCCTGGCTAATTTTGTTATTTGTGCTTCTGTCTGGGTCCAGCCTGGCCCTGTTGACCAGGCTGCTGTGTGGCTCCCAGCGACTGCAGCCCACAAGGCTCTATGTGACCATCATGTTCACAGTGCTGGTCTTCCTCCTCTGTGGCCTGCCCTATGGCATCCACTGGTTCCTCTTATTCTGGTTTCAAGAAGATATTCATGCATTTGTTCATCTTTACCAGATATCCATTCTTCTGTCCTGTGTAAACAGCTGTGCCAACCCTGTCATTTACTTCTTCGTGGGCTCCTTTAGGCAGCGATGGTGGAAGCGGCAACAGACCCTGAGCCTGGTTCTCCAGAAGGCTCTGCAGGACACCGCTGAGGTGGATGAGCATGGAGGGAGCCTTCCTCAGGAGCCCCTGGAGATGTCGGGAAGCAGTCTGGCGTCCTGATTCAGAGTCGTGCTTTGCTCAGTGAGGTGTGAATATGAGATATGACTTTCTCTGTATCAGTTTGGAAGTTTTTCTTAACATGTCTGTCCTCTAGCCCCAGAATTAAAACACTTAACCTAATAATCCTGCACCAGATGAAAGCAGTGCAGGAAACTCTAAATTTCTTTCACCAGTGTACTCATAGAAGCAACAAGCAAATGACATTTTTGACAAATTTCTGTGGTCACTCCCCTCCCCTGCAGTCTGTCTCTATAAATTGAAAGAATTAAAGTTCAGTTGAGCACTAATGCAGCGGTCTTCCTTCATTTTCGCAGGCCTTAGACTAGCTCCCTAGCACATTAAATGTTGGCTGATAAACTAATGTAAGAGCAGACAATGATTTTCAAGTCAAGTCTGTGCTAAATCTCCATTTGCCTGACTTGAGGCACCAGCTTTAAGTTTATTGGTTTACCATTTTCAAACTCTGCAGTGTGAAGTTAGCTTATAACTAGATAAATAAGCGTCAGGGCGTATTTAAGATCTGAGGTATGTTGTCTACCCGTGTTTCCCTTCACACGCTCTCTGAGAATCCCACACACTCCCTCTCGTCCTGTCCTTTGCCCTTGCCCTGACTCTCCCTCTCCGGATGCTCTCTAATCCCTCATGGCCGGTTTGCAAGGGGTGTTATTTGACTCCATGTTCTTCTCCTGGGACAGGATCTAGGTCAGATTTTCCTTTTATCCAAAGAGCTCTCAGCATCAATTAATCTGCTTACAGAAAAATTCTTAAGTCACGTATTCTATAAATAAATATATTAAGTTTAAATGTTGAATCCTCTAAACATTTTTAATCGAGGTATAATTAAGAAAGGGGTGACTGTGCAGATCATGATTCTGTGAATTTTGGCAATGGGTACACCCATGTGACTCAAACCCCCATCAAGGGATAGTTGCATCACCTCTGAGAGTTTCCCTCATGTCCCTCCCAGTCATTCCTCCTGCCCCAGAGACAACATTTGCTCCTACTGCTGCCGCCAAACGTTCATTTCCCTGATCTTTGACTTCATATGGTTAAGATGGAAAAAACAATGTACTTTTTGTTCCTTTCTTCTTTCAGAATAGTATTCTGGGATTTACTCATATCATTGCTTTGCATATATCAGTTGTCTGTCCTTTCACAAATCTGAGTACCATTTCATTGCACGTGTGCACCACAGGTTGTCTTTATCTGGACAGATACATAGGTAGCGTCCCATTCTGGGCTATTGTGAATACAGCTGCTGTGAACATACTTCATCAAGTCTTTTTCTGGACATATATTTTCATTTCTCTTGGATATACAACCTGAAAAGAAATCATTGGGTCATACAAAGATATATCATAAACTCTATGAGAAATTGCCCAATACTTTTCCTGAGCAGTTGTGCTGCTTTACATCCCTGCCAGCAACAAACACAAGTTCCAGCTGCCCCACATTCTCCCCCAAAACATGGCATTGCCAGTCTGTGACTCTTACTCATTCAGATGGAATCAAAGTGGTATCTGCCTGTGGTTCAGTTTGCCTTTCTTAAATGACTAGTGATTGAGCATCTTTTCATGAGACTATAGGTTACTTCGATATTTTGAAGTGTCTGTTTAAGTTTTCCCATTTTTATTGTGTTGTCTTTTTTCATTATTTATTTGTAGGACTCTTATATATGGAGAATGAGTCCTTTGTTAGTTATTTGCATTGTAAATATTTATCAATTTGTAGATTTGCCTATTCATTTTAATAGATTTTATATTTTTGAGCACTTTTAGATTTAAAGAAAAAAATGCACAGGAAATACAAACGTTTTCTATACAATCCCTTTCCCCATCCTCAATTTCCCACACAGTTTCTCTTATTACTAGCATCTTCCATTAATGTGGCTCATCTGTTTAAATTGATGCTCCCATATGGATACATTATTATAAACTGAAGTTTCTATTTTCTATTAGCATTCACTCTTTGTGTTGCAAAGATCAGTGGATTTGACAAATGCAAAATGTCATGTGTCTGCCATTATAATATCATATAGAACAATTTCTCTGTCCCAAAAATGAAATGAAAACATAGGCGTGTTTGTTTGTTTGTTGTATTTATCCTTCTTATTGTTCTCAAGCTCCCTAAATCTGTGGTTTGGTGTTTCTCAATAAATGAGAAAATTCTCATCCATTATTACTTCAGATATTTCTTCTCTTCCTAGTCCTCTTTCTTCCTCCTGTGATATTCCCATTACATGCATGTAACACATTTTGTGATTATCTCAAGCTCTTGAACATTCTGGTCTGGTTTTTTCAGTATTGTATTCTTTTCCCCTTTCAGTTGTCAAGTTCCTATTAACATATCTTGAGGGTCACTGAGTCTACAAAGCCTCTATCTAGTCTGCTGATGAGCTCTTCAAAGGCATTCTTCATTTTGGTCATAATGTTTTGATTTCTAGCATTTCTGCTATTTTAGAGGTTTCATCTTTCTGCTCATATTGTCCATCTGCTCTTGCATATTGTCCAGATTTCTCATTAAACTTCTCAACATATTAATCACAGTTACATATATTGCCAGTCTGATCATTATCAGCCAATCTTAATTTTTTTACATCTTATATGGGAAATTAATTGATAGTAATGAAAAATTAAAAACACAATATAAGTGTGTCATTCAAGACTATAATTATAGTTAATAAAAGAATTTTGAAGAAAAACTGAAGCAAGTCATTGATTTCAGATAGTAGGGTTCAGGAACACTTTGACCATTAATTTGATACACTATTATGTCCATTGGGATGACAATGTAAAACTGTATGTGTTATTCCTGTGCTAAAGAAAAAGCCTGGAGGTTGAAGTGGGTCTAAGGTGGCAGCATAGAAACACCCTGAACTCCCCTCTTCCCACACACACACTAAATATGCAGCCCCATCTAGAGCCATTCCTGCTGAAGAAGTAAGTGCCAGTTGAACGGCTTCTCCACAACAAATAACAGAGGGACCACATAGTAAAGGTGGAAACCCTACGCTAGACATGGGGACTTGCAGAAGGACAGGGTTTTCCAAGGGGCCCATGTGTAGTATTGCTTGCCCTGGGGCACAGTGAACAAACAGCAGTTTAAAGGCACTGAGCCTACCCAATAAGGAAATACACTCACTAACCTTAAAGTATCTGCTAAACATGTGGGCAGTTCTGACATGCTCCAGGATCTAAGGCACCAGAGAGAACCGTTGTTTATGTTCCCACTCCCCTTGCACAGGTGATTGGGAGCTCAGTTTAAACACTCTAGCCAACGTGCAAGACAATCCCAGCATGCCTGAGGTCCCTGGCCCACACCTGCTGTAGCCAGCCATGGTACAACGTTTGCCCAAGACCTGTGTGCCCTGGACAATTTACACTTCAGCCCGTGCCAACTCCAGTTCTAATCTGTCCCACCAGAGCTCACCTGATGCCGGGTTGCCCCCCACCCACTCAGCTGCCACCAGCTGTCCAACTACCTGACCTGCTGAGGTGGCCCCAGAGCTACACACCTGTGGTAACCTCAGCCTAGGTGCACTGCAGCTCCAGCTAACCACCCCACTGGGGCTGTCCCTGTGATGAAGAAGCACAGAGTGTTGTCTGTCCATCCTTTGGCCCATCTGGTACCGCTGCCACCACCCCAAACACATGTCAGCTGTCATGTGTACTCTGCTCTGGGCCCTGTCACTGCTGCTGAGCATCCTCAGAGGGAACTACTGTGGCCTCCTGAATAGGGATTTACATCACTTTTGGTGTCCAGCATTGGATTGCATCACTGTCGCCTGGCTAATTTTGTTATTTGTGTTTCTGTTTGGGTCCAGCCTGGTCCTGCTGACCAGGCTGCTGTGTGGCTCCCCGTGAGAGCAGTTGACCAGGCTCTTTGTTACTGTCGTACTCACAGTGCTGGTCTTCCTCCTCTGTAGCCTGCCCTTTGAAATCCACTGGTTCCTCTTATTCTGGTTTCAAGAAGATATTCATGCATTCGTTCATCTTCACCTGATTGTCATTCTTTTATCCTGTGTCCACAGCTGTGCCAACCCTGTCACTTACTTCTTCGTGGGCTCCTGGAGGCAGTGATGGTGGAAACGGCGACAGACCCTGAGGCTGGTTCTCCAGAGGGCTCCGTAGGACACCCCTGAGGTGGATGAGCATGGAGGGAGCCTTCCTCAGGAGCCCCTGGAGATGTCGGGGAGCAGATTAAGGCAGCAATGAAGAGCCTCTGCCCTGATCAGTCAGAAGTGGCTTTGGGACTCAGTGCTGCCCTGCCAGGCTTGCAAATTATCTAGCCTTCTCTCAGCCTCATGCCTCAGAATGCTTCATTTATTTCCCTGTATCTTCAAGTAGGTTATTTTAAATCTGGATTTTCTAGTTTTCTCAGAAAAGAAACATTAGTCTGAAAGTTATACCTCTCCTACTTTCTGGACATTACCAATACATTTGTCATGTGATCTTCCTATGAATCTCTGTATTGAATACTTTTTCTTTACAATGTTCATTGCAGTGGAAAGAATCCCTGTTCAAAACCATCAACCCTTATTCAGAATCGTTTTCTGCCTGATCAAATAGAAAAAAAAAATTCCTTATTTTTTTCAGACTATATAGTCCCTTAGGTTTCATGTTTAATCCTGTGATTGGGGGCAATCTACAAGTAAAAAGCTTGAATAAATTAGTTGACCATCCTCTAATCTCATTGGGTTCTCTGGATTTTAGGAAAATGATATCGCTAGAGATAGAGTCTTTACCTGCATGAGAACAGTCCAGGAAAGTAGGTTTATGAAAAGTCCTCTGGTGGCATTTGTCCACAACATGGTGACAAATTGGCCTTGGGTTGCAGTAAAGAAAACCATGGTCTTTACCTTTGAGAAATGGTGAATGGTTTATAGTTCTCATCTTGACCAGTATAGAGTCTAGAACAATGTCCTATCAATTCCAATTTGGCCATTGCAATGTCAGTGTCAATTTTAAAATAGAAATCTTGGAAACCATTTTTATTCACAT